GCGCCGCACCCGGCGCACGGCCACCCGCAGGGCGGTCCCCAGCAGCCGCGTTCGCCGCACATGGCCAATGCCGCGCCGATGCAGCCGATGCAGCCGATGGGCGGTCCATGGGGCCAGCCGCAGCAGCCGATGGGCTACCCGCCGCAGTACGGTTACCACCCGGGGTACGGCTACCAGCCGGTGCCGCCGCAGCACTGGGGTCAGCAGCAGCAGGCGCAGGGTTACGAGATGCCGGGCACGCCGCGATCGCCGCGACACGCCAACATGTCGTCGTCGCCCATGGGTCCCAACGGGTTGCCGCCCACGCCGTCGATGGCGCCCTCGACGCCGCTCTCGGCCCGCGCCTCGGCCAACGTGCCCCCCTCGCCCCAGACGGCCCACAGCAGCGTCGCCTCGCCGCCGCACCACGGCGCTCCCCTCGCCATGGGCCAGCCGCAGCCCGGCCGTCCCCAGGGCTTCGCGTCTCCTAGCCCGAGCTTTGCGCACCACTCGCCCTCGCACTCGTTTAGCAACCCGATGAGCCCCTCGGCACGGCACTTTGAGCCTCAGCAGAAGCGCCAGAGCAGCGCCATCCGCATCGTCAACCCCGAGACGCAGGCCGCCGTCGACCTCCAGAGCCTGCAGCGGACGCCGACCAGCACACCCGCGCAGCCCGCCGCGTCGACCTCATCGCCGAGCCTGGCCAAGGCGTCGCCGGCCGTCGTCACCCCCGCCGAGCGCAAGCCGGTCCGGATGGAGACGCCCGAAGCCTTCATGCGCCGCGTAGAGGCCAAGAAGGCCGAGGACGCCAAGAAGAAGGCCGAGCTCGAGGCCGCAGCTGGCAAGTCCTCCGAGTCCGACGCCGCCGCCGCCGCCGCCGCCGCCGCCAAGCAAAAGGAGACCGACGAGCAGGCCAAGCGCGAAAAGGACGAGCAGGACAAGAAGGAGGCCGAGGAAAAGGCGGCCAAGGAGCGCGCAGAAAAGGAGGCCGCCGACGCCAAGCAGAAGGCCGAGGCCGAGGAGGTCGAGCGCCAGAAGAAGGCCAAGCAGGAGGAGGAGGAGAAGGCCGCCGCCGCCGCGAAGCGCGAGGCCGAGGAAAAGGCCGCCGCCGACAAGAAGGCCGCCGACGAGGCCAAGGCCAAGGAGGAGGCTGAGCGCAAGGAGCGTGAGGCCAAGGAGGCCGAGGAAAAGGCCAAGGCTGACGCCGCGGCCGCCGCCGCCAAGGAAAAGGCCGACGCTGAGGCTGCTGCCGCCGCCGCTGCTGCCAAAAAGGCCGCCGATGAGGAGCAGGCCGCTGCCGCCGCTCGTGCCAAGGAGGCCGACGAGGCGACGACGGCGTCCAAGCCTAAGCCGGCGCCCATCGACACGCAGAGCACCGCCGCAGCCGCCGAAGGCGTCGACGGTGACGACAAGGACAAGGCCGCCAACGCCGAGTCGGCTGCCGCTGCCGCCTTCCGCGTCGCCGATGTCGAGCGCATGGCGCGCGAGGCGTCGTCGGTCCCCTCGACGCCGTTGGATGCGCTGCCACCGCGCACGCCCGGCGCCGTTCCGCAGACGCCGCGCACGCCCGGCACGCCCGGCTTTGCTGGTCTGCCCGCCAAGCCGCTCAGCTCGCTGCCGCCCACCAACGGCATCAAGCTCGACAACGACGCGCTCGAGAAGAAGAAGCGCGCCGGCGCGCCCGGCACCATCGACACCAGCTCGGCCCAGCAGGCGCCGCACGGCGATGCGCCCGCGTCGGCCGCCTCCAACGCGCTCGGCTCCGCCCGCTTCATCGACAACATCAACAAGGTCTCGTACCCGAGCAACATTGCCTCGCCCCGCGCCGAGCTCAACGAGTCGGCCGAGCCCGGCAAGTTCCGCTACGACCGCGACTTCCTGATGCAGTTCATGGGCGTTTACACCGAGAAGCCGCAGGACCTGCCGC